TCACCCCCCATGGATCGAATGGTATTGTCCTATGTAAACACTCACCAAAATTAGTAAACAACATGGCGGACTCGACTCGCCAGAATGCCCGGGCGTCAATCATAAAAAGTGTGGATAGCTGCTCGAATTCGCCACTCCGGTTCAAATTTTGAGCATAAACAAATATTATACAGTACAAGGATTGCTGCCGCTGCCCCGCGCGTTAGGTATTCCCCCTGTTCGTCTCCGGGCGTTAAATAGTAGGAACGAAGATATCATCATGAAATGAAGAAATGTAAATGAGGTCTACCCAAGATACTATGCACCAAGTATCAAGGCATTCAGGCTTGTAGTTTTCAAGAAGAAGTCGAAAAAGTAAAAAGTTGGCGCAGACAACGAAAAATCACTCATATGACAAGCTTCTCTTGACAAAGACAACAGCAGAGCTAATAAAATCCACTGATATTTTTCTACTTAGGTTGATGTCAGCAGACATGAGTGATTACTGACAGAGTATTATCTCAATCCTAGCTGTGTACAATTAAAAAAGGTTTGGCAGTATATTAAGCACACTGTGCAGATGAATGGTATACATGTGATAAAGGCAATCAAAGCTAGATGATTCTTACCAATTGCAACAGCAGTTTCCTCTGCATCACCAGTGACCATTTTAATAGATACCCCTGTACCTAATAATGTATGTATGGACTCAATGACACCAGGTCTAGGAGGATCAATAATCCCAACCATTCCAACAAATGTTAATGCATTCATATCAGTACCAACAGCCATAGCCAGTACTGGAATACAAAGTAAAATAGGCTGAGGAGAGAATCTTAATAAGTTGTCTACTAAGCATTACCCCTGGTACTGTGCAATCCATTTTATTTACAAAATTTGTAACAATGATAAGATTTGCTTATAGACATTATAATAAGTGACACATTATTTATCAAAATTTGAATTTCTCGTCATTACAAAAGCAATGATTTATTAAATGCAAATGTTTTGATCTTTGTTTCCCACAAAAATTGTCCTGTGACCCCCCCACCCTCCCTCATTTTCTGTTTCTTAAATTGAGTTGATAAAAGAGGTATTTAATGTTAATCTAGCACACCACAGTACCGGATTCTGTCATAAATTTGCCCTGGGCCGTTAAGGTATAGATGCAGGTTCGTGGGCACTTGGGAGTGAATTTTCTTCTTTTTTGCTTTTTATTATCCAAACAGTCTTGGCTATAGACTGTTAAAATTTCACAACATTATGAATAGTGGAACATACTCAAAAAACGACATGGTGAAAAAAAAAGTAATGACGGGATCTCCATATTATGCACTATATTTAACTTTTTACAAAACGATAATAGGTTTAAATTTGGAACTGTTACAGCCATTTTAATTATGAGCATTAGCAAACTTCTTACTGAGTGAATTGTTATGCAAATTAGCAATTATCTCTACTTGTGTTTTTCAGTTTACCATGGAAGTTCAAATCTAAATAGCTCACACAATTCTTGTTTATTTTGAGTGAAACTTTCACACAACATTTATCAGTTGTTTATTAACAAAGGGGCGTCCAGGCGTGTATATATAGTATGTTTTGTCTTCATATTACAAAGTTGTCAAGCAGGATGTGTGCCATATATTCAATGCCGGTCAGTATTTCACACTTCGAATGTCATTGTCCGAGAATGCAAAGCTTTAAAAATAAGCCCAGACGTCCTTTTGTTCGTAAAGACGTTGTCAAAATAGTGTGAAAATGTCGCAACAAACTAACAAAAACTATGGGAGCTAATTAATTTTCAATCTCTCTGACCAACCAGAAAACACGAATGGAGATAATGGCTGTTTTATAAAAGTGACGTAAATCGTCCACAAAAATGGCTATTGCATCATGACGACATGCTAAAATCCATCATACACCGACGCTTGCTGATGTTCAATAGTCAGATAAAATAATAAAATAAAAATATTTACAATATGGGGGAAACGGATGTAAAATCGTCTGCGATTATGTAAAGTCGATGAGATATTCATACAGTTGTATAAACATAGCGATCACCATTGGGTGGGTTGAGTCTAATTCACAGTCACTTGGGGGCTGAAAATCAATAAATACTAATTTTAAAAAAAAATCATCCGCTATACGTATATAAATAAACAAGTTATGAAACATGGCACCTAGTAAATCTACACCGTGTCGGTTTCAAATTTCGATTTCTTACCTCAAAATGCGAAACAAAATTTTTAGAGGGGATCAGGTGTTACGTTAATAACCATTGTTCATAATTGCTAACTTGGTTTTATTCAAAACTGCACAAATCCCGCGTTTTCTGATGATATCCGACGATTTCATGAACGAAAATGGCCAGCAGCCAGAATCAAGGGGGATTCGCACAGATTTCTGGGTAAATCAAGTGCGCATAGTCATTTTCAGCCAATCAAGCGTGCCGTAACAGCGATTATTTCCTTGATTTACCCAGAACAGAAGTTGTCGACATGTTGCGAGATAAGGGTGAAAAAGTTTATTTATCATTTACAACTGTATGTTTTTTATACTCCGCTTGCATGCTGGAAGCGTCTACGTCTTGTCTGTTTTTTGTTGTTGTAGTTTGCAAGACTAGTTGATAGCGCTTGAGGTAAATAAACAGGGTCGCGAACAAGAAGTTACACATTCCCGCACCGTAATTGAGGCCAGCAACTCATTTGCATATAACAACAACAGTGACTTGTCAATCAAAGAGCAACGTAAACAAACTTTCGAGACTTTTAATCACATACGCGTACCTCGATGCACTATATTTTAAAATCCATTTTTGCGCATGTTCCTGACAATGCTTCGAAATTTTAACACTATCTAAGCCAAGACTGTCTGGGTAAGAAAAGCAAAAAAAAAAAAAAATTCACTCCGAGTGCCCACGAACCTGCATCTATACCTTAAACAGCAGTTTGGGTTTAAAAAAAAAAATAGTTGAATTTTTGTAATCATGCCCTTTGTTATATAATATTATTTCCTTTATCATAGTTTGTTTCAGTAGGAATATGCATTGTAATAATTTATTTTGAAAACAAACAAGTTTTAGGATTGAAACAGCAGTGGGAAAGCAGTCTACCAAATGTCCTTGATTGATGTAAATATCTTACAAAAACATTGGTGCCTAATTTGTTTAATTATTTTAAGGGACATTCTGTAAAATGACTAATTTTCACTGGGTTTAAATTTCACTGATTTACCATTTCAGGCATATTCAGTAGGTTTTAAATTCACGGTTTCGTCATTTAGATAATGTGTTCTATGCTAAATTTTACATATTCACTGTGTTTTAATTTAGCGCATTTTTCCAGTCAGCGAAATAAGCTAAATTAAAACCCAGTGAATAATTACCCCCTTTACAGTAATTTCCAGCTTTATTCAAAGTAATTCAGATATCTTAGTATAAAAACCAATGCCTCATCTCAGAAAAATATGGCTGCATTTAGTACAGGTGTCTGCCAAAAAATAATGATTTACTTAGACAAATATTGACTGCCTTATTATATTCATTGTGTGACTACAGTTTTATTTAAAAAGTTACAAAAAACGCCCTCTAGGAATAACTATCATGTTGCAAGCTCTGCTTTGTATGCAAATCAAATCAAATAGGTAGTTGGTGTACAGTGGAGAGAGAAGTCAACAGTACTGTTGTTGCCTCCTGAGAATCTACATCTTCAAACACTGCAATCTTTGTTTTTGAAGTGCGTCTTTAAATTAGTATTATGAAAGCTCTATAATTCTGATCTAATAGCTGAAACAAACTCCTGTGAATTTTCATTTGTCGAATGAACTGTTTGTCAAATACAGGATACATATTTTTGAGTATGATTTTCTTTTCAAAATGTGGATGCTTTGTTTTGCTTTTTATGCATTTTTATTTAATTTTTAACTAGACACTGTGCCAGGCACTATACTCATCAAAGAATGCCAGTTCTTAACTTTTTAAAACTAGCAATGGTGCAACATTAAACAATTTTGGAAAACCATTTCCAGTTTCACTTACCTCGAAGTCCGGATCTTCCAAACATTTTAGCTTCTTCTGCAAACATTTCAAGCCTCTTGACTGTAAGTGTTGCTGGTGTTCCATAATTGTTAAAAGTCTTACACTGATTAAGGACCCTTTCTAGAGCTCCTTTCATGAAATATACTTCCTGAGTGACATTATTTTTAAGTGGTTGACATTTGACAGCCATCCATTTATTGTCTGAACTGAAAGGAATCTCAAGTGTTCTTGTGTACTTGCTTCTTGTATCATGCATGTCCATCTGAAAAAGTTGCATTTCATACAACAATTATTATTTATTATCTATCACTGAAAACAATAGAATTTGTCACATCAGAAAAGCCTGCTTCAGCACTTGTTCCAAAATGTATCAGTACTCATTTGATTGTTCAAATTTTCCCAATTGACATTGAAACGCTCCAGGTTAGTAACGTCACATTCTAATACTTTGTTTACATTGGATGCAGAAGTGTGTAGTATGATAGATATATGTTTATATACCCTATATATAAAATATGTTTTTGAAATGCAGTCCCTAACCCCCTTGGCTATTTTCACCAATTTTTCGTCGCCGGGGAGATTCACGTCCCAAATTTTGGTTCTCCGGGCGTCTCTAATAAATACTCTATCTAACCGCTGGACTGAATTAGCTGAATTATGAAAAATTCATAGAAGATTGGGCGAAAATAGGTCGTTTTTGGACTCAACGTGTTTTTGTTAGGAAACCAAAGGGCGATAAGACTCGATTTTCAAGAACGCAGGTTGCTCGGATCGGACGGTTTCTATTGTTTCGAGTCTGTTGTGTGTCTAGAAACATAACAACTTTGTTTTCTGGTGAATATAGAACATGCCCTGTTCCAATAAAGGATTTTGATATGCAAATCAAACAATTTTAATAGTTCCTTATTGTAATGTCTCCCATATAAATAGTCCTCTACTCCCCAGAATTTGACAATGGTACTCGCCCAGAATGGACTTTCTGTTCAGTGCATCTTTGATTGTAGCAATGTTTACGCCACTGTATGAATTTACACACACTCGCGAATTTGACAACATTCACTTGAGCGTTTTAGGATAGTGGGAATAGAAGCAAATAGATGGAAATGCCAGTTACGTCACTCATGAATATTGATGATTCGATTGCTGGCCGGGATAGATGTATTTAGCGTTCATTTCTATGCAATATGTCTACACCTGCGATTTTCAATTTCAATGTGTAAAATCATATCGCTGCTGTGGACGGCGACAGCTGACAGATTGTTTTGGTTTTGCAGCTCTCTTGGCATGGGCAACTGATTTTTAGGTTTCTGTTTTTTTAATATTCTGACGTTTACTTGGTCGTATTTTGTATATACCACTCAGACACTGACAACAAGTATAAAGTAAACGGGCTGGGACATAGTCAACATGGGACTCTGAGGGCCTCGGAGAAAGCGTCATCTTACAACATTAATGAACGAAATTTACATTACAATCTCATGCTTCCGAACAATCTGATGCTGGATAACAAAGTATACAAGTACCGTTTACGATATACTGCAAAATGGAAATAACATACATATTTAACCATTGTTGATTTTTGCATAAAATTCCATGAACACAAAACAAACAACTGACAACAATCGACAAAACAAGAACACTACACAGTCAATGTAGCCACACCAGTAAGAAAAAGATACTGTGGAACTCATTGCAAATGTAAATGCAAAATAAATGTCAGTGAATACAATATTTATTAATCTGCAGCCTCCATGGACAAGTTCACAGCCTCTAATAATGCAAAACCGTTAGTTGTGAACTGAACTTTAAATCTCATCAGGATTTCCACATTATCAAAACTTAAAATGTAATCATTGAACAAATGTAAAGTAAACAAAATTATCGAGTGATTTTGGGTTTGTTGGAAAAGTAGCCGAAATGCTGTGACATGGTCTAATTAGTGGTGGGAATTGCCAAGCCAGTTTATAAAACAAGCAGGTAGGCTGGTTGGTTGGCGATTCGCTCCGTTCAAAAACAAGCAACATCATGTTTTTGGCTGTTGCCATGGTAGGACAAGAATGTGAAGCTAACGTCGGTTTATAACTAAAACCAGGACCCGTATACGAAGTTTGCAAAAAAACGTTCAGTCTTTAGAAGTCACTTTATTTTATTGCTAGGATGTATTTCAAACCGTTTTGCTATAGTATTTTCTAGATTGAAGGCAGCATTAACAGTTCATTCAAAGTTTAAAGTTGTGTTGGGATTATGTTGATACAGTTTAACAATGTTGGTGCCAGGTATATCTCACCCAGCCCAGAGTCTGGCCATTGGTTTCTACCAACGCCCAGTGAAACGCGCCTGAAAATTCAAATTGGATTATTCAAAATAGCAGAATATGGTCGTGGCAGCAGTTCCCGTCGCTAAGTAACGAGATAAGATGGGGCGATCCATCAAATTTTGACAGGGGCCAGTGGTTGGCTATTTTTTTATTTTTAACCATACTCACTCACTCATTACTATTCATAAGTCTGATGAGTGTATGTAAATTATATTTACGTTCAGACTCCTCCCTAGTTCCTTTTCTGTCTCTTTCGAAATTAAAACCAGGATCATTTGGGGATGCTTTGACGTAATGTTGTTTGTGTCAGTTGTCCAATTAGCTTCATACAGCCCGTATTCGCCATTTACATAATACTCGCACCGATTTCTGGGCTATCTCTTACCAGTGTGCAACGTGGCCAAAATAAAAAAAAACATGATCATATGAACACTGCTATTACAAGACTGGTAGGAGGTAATAAATCAGTTTTTGGCTGTTGCGGTGAGCAAGAATTGTTTTTCAATTAATGACGGTACGACCTGCCTGTCAAGTATGAACAAAATCAGCCAAGCCAAACGGCTGCAGAGCAGTTAAAAGATGCTGGTGAAAAGTTACCCCAACTTTAAGATCAAGTTTCTCGGTAATGAAAATAGACATAAAACAACCAGTAAATTTATGCCCACACTTAAGCTGAGAAGATTGAGCTACTTAATGGGTTAGCATACGTTTAATGTGTTTTTTTTCAATATTTATTATATTTTAAATTATTGATGGTTATAACAGTATCTTTGACTGTGCTTTTATTCTGAACAAAAACTCCATTTTATAAGGCTTATTTCGACGTTTTTTCTATTTCAAAACATTGCCACGTGTGATTGTTTATAAACACCACCAACATAAGCACAACATTTGCATGAAAGTAATCCTAATTGACACTTGATGAAGATCCAATTTGCATATCAATACTACAAAGTTTACGTAATTAGGGTACTCATTTCGCCCAGCCTTCCGCTTTTACATCGACAGCTTATTGCTTAATTTCCGACCGCGCGGTCTTGTCCGACCGGACTTTTTTCGCTCGCTCGCTCATTTGAAAACACTGACCGCTTGCCCAAACACTGATCACACATGAGTAGTCGAAATGGTGGTTTTCCAAATCTAATAGTTTTTTGGCTGTTGCCATATAAACGGTGGGCCAGAATTTGTTTTCAGATTTTACAACCTAACTAGAGTGAAGGTGTGACTTGCCAAGTTTGAACCAAATCGACCCAGCCAAAAAGAGTTGAAAAGCTATTCCTGGTGAACAGTTACCCCAACTTTGGGGTCAAATTTCTTGGTAATGAAAAAATATAACAAAAATTCAAATAGTAACTTAGTGTGGGAGTAGAATGAGCTATGTCTGAGGAGTTTTATCCTAAATTTGTAGGAGGAGATACATTTGGCACGAAGCTATCCAAAAAAACAGTTTTTTACTCCAGTGTGCGAAGCACACAATGGGAGTCTTTGCAGTCACCATGTCTGTATGTGTGTATGTGTGTGGTCGTCTGTTCCACTGATATCTCAAGAACCATACATTGGTTTTTGATGAAACTTGGTGCATAGATGCTCTGGGCCAATGCGCAGATTTGATTAGGTTTTAGTTAAAATTCATGCATATTAATTACCTAATTTGTATGACACTTAGCTAATTTTTAGCTGTTTCATGACTGTTTCACTGATATCTAAAGAATCACTCATTGGATTTTAATGACACTTATTTCATAGATGCTCTGAACTAATGCCAGGATTTTATTAGTTTTTGGGTAAAAATCTATGCATATTAATTACATAATTTGCATAAAAATTAGTAAATTTTCGGCTTTTCCACTGATATCTCTACTACTAATCATCACATTTCAATGAAAATTAGTACCTAGATGTCAGAGGACACTACCCAGACCTAGTAGTTTTTAGGGTAATATCAGTACATATTAATTACCTAATTTGCATAATAAATTAATTTACAACTTTTGATATTTCCAGTAGTAAGCATTATATTTCAATGAAACATGGTACATAGATACTCAATGACTATGCATAGATCGATTGTTTTGGGATAAATATTTGTGCATATTAATCACCTAATTTGCATAATTAGTTAACTTTTGGATTTTCACGTATATCTCAAGTACTAATCACATTTCAATGAAACTTAGTACATAGATCCTCCAGGACTATGCATAGATCTGATTAGTTTTGGGGTAAAAAAATTGTGCTTATTAATTAACTTATTTGCATAATTAATAAATTTTCAACTTTAACACTGATATCTCAAGTACTAATCATCACATTTCAATGAAACTTTGTACATAGATGCTCTAGGACAATGTACAAATATGATCAGTTTTTGGGTTAAAATCTGTTCATATAAATTCCCTAATTAGCATAATAATTCCTAATTGTTTGGTTCTAATCACATTTCAATGAAACTTGTTACATAGATGGTCTGTTATATTGCGCAGACCTTATTAGTTTTACACTCCGTTCATTTTAATTTTCTGATTTGCACAATTAGTTTTCAGCTTTTTCATCAATATCTCAAGTACAAGTAATTTTGAATTAATTTTTACTGTGTCTAATACTCTCAGCACACGGGAGTTCTTTCTAAGCTTTCTTTGTAATGGCTGTTACTATGGCAACGGTGAGCCAAATATTTTTTTCCCAGATATTACCTAATAACTAGGGTGATGGTGTGACCTGCCTGCCAAGTTTCAGGGAACTAGGCAAAGCCAAAAAAATTACAGAAGAAATAATACGTGAAAACACTGGAAATCACACACACAGACACACAATATTGATTTCTATAATATTAGCGGAACGGATCACCGAAAGTGAACAAAGACGCTCATCACATAGTGTCTTGTTTTTAATATAATAAAACTGCAAGCATGAAAGATTATCTTGAGAATACTCCAAAGTATACACTCAGGCAGTACAGGAACACATCAACCTCTGCTGTGTGTCAACTGTTACAACCCCTATGTACCTAGTGCATACTGTAAAATGACTAATATTCACTGGGTTTAAATTTCACTGATTTACCATTTCAGGCATATTCAGTGGGTTTTAAATTCACGGTTTCGTCATTTAGATAATGTGTTCTATGCTAAATTTTACATATTCACTGTGTTTTAATTTAGCGCATTTTTCCAGTCAGCGAAATAAGCTAAATTAAAACCCAGTGAATAATTACCCCCTTTACAGTACTTTGTGGTATTCTTATGATAACCTTTATAGTATCACATTCATAATGGGTGATGAAAACAAAAGCACTTAAATCAATGACACTGAGGGCATACTAAAAAAATTTCACATTAAAACAAATATTGACACTCCAAAACCAGGTTACAGTGAATAACTGCATAACAAATTTCTATCGATTACATGTATTCATAAAAAAATAAATGAAAAACATACCTTCATAGCTAGTGCCAGAAGAGCGCCCTCAGTAGGCTGACCATAGAGAGTTTCATTACGAATTTCAGCATTGTTACAAACACATCCAACCTGTTGGCAAATGAAACACTTTAAATGGGGCACAAATCATGAGATTTCTCAAGAGAAAACATTTAAATATCCAAACTATATTTAGAAATTCATCTGCAATAAGTCATTGAAAATGACACAGTCCCCGTTAAATTTTTGAAAGTTCTCTTTGTGCTCGTCATATTAAAGTGAAGGGATTGTTGCGAGCGTGTCCTTGAAACTTGAGTACAAAGTGGCGTATAAAACAGATTGTTTATTTTACATCAAATTCGAACACGTGTTGCGTGAAGACCCCTCCGGTTTAAGACATAGCAAAGACAAGCAGCCTGTCAGCTGAGATAGCTTCGCTGTTAGCAATGGAAATTTCAATTAAAGAACAGAAGATATCATTAGAAAATGAACATTATGTATAGTATCAAGCAATGGGACAAAAATATCACTTTTTACCAAAAATTACAAAAATATTCAATAAAATTAGAGAATTGAAGATATCATTACAAAATGAACAAATCTGAGAGAGGTCCACATGTAGTACCTATATATGTAATATCAAAGCAATTGGACTTGCGGTTTTTAACAAGAAGTCGAAAATATCCCTTTTTACCAAAAATTACAAAAATATTCACCAAAATTAGAGAATTAAAGATATCATTAGAAAATGAACAAATCTGAGAGAGTTCCACATGTAGTACCTATATATGTAATATCAAAGCAATTGGACTTGCGGTTTTTAACAAGAAGTCGAAAATATCACTTTTTACCAAAAATGCCAAAAATATTCACCACAATTAGAGAATTAAAGATATCATTACAAAATGAACAAATCTGCAAGAGGTCCACATTTAGTACCTATATATGTAATATCAAAGCAATTGGACTTGCG